AAAGTACGACTACGCGTTCGGTTTCCGACCCGGAGGCATAAACATCAACATGCACCCTATGGTACTCGCCAAAGACAAACACAATCCAGCCCTCAAATCCAACTCTCAGAAATGTTCAGAACGCACTGCGAAAACCATTAAGAAACAATGCAAGGTGAGTGCCGGGGGGGCTACTATGGTCTATACATATTTATAATATAATGTTGTCTAGCTATGTAATGTCATAGATAGTTTTTTTCTACATTTGTTCAATCTAGTCCAATTCAGTTCAGTCGTGATTTGCAATGTGTCAACATTCTCAGGTGCACATGGTTTCTATATAGGGATTTAAGTTTATCTGTGCGGTTCTATGATGTTCTATGCATGGATTCTGGCACAATTGCATACGGTCTGCATACGTGTCAAACTCAAATGTGTGTACGTGCTTCACTTTTCTCAGGACATTGGTCGACTGATCAACTGCAGGTGGGGTACACCTCTTCGACAAGCGGCGAAGTCTTTCTGACCTCGTCCCATGCAGGACTCAGGTCTTTGGCGTCCGGTGCCAGCATGACATTTTGAAAGTTGGGTTCCACCTCACGGCATCGACCGGCGATTTTTCGAGAAGAAGCACGAGTGGAAGAGTTGTTTCCACCAAAAAAAGGTGTTCTCAGTGGGAGGACCAGAGGTGGAACAAATTTAAAGCTACTTTGGGCATGGGAGCCTTTTCTCAAGTACTTTTGTAGCTGCAGAGCTTGAGAAGCTACTTTGCTTCGTATAGGACCTATCCATGTGGAAGAAACTGTGGCATCCATGTCCTCTGCCATCTATGACTTGTCGAATGAGGTGGGGGTAAAAACTTTCCGACCGAACTAGGTCTGGGTTTGACATAGCGGCCTTCAGCCCAGGACTTTCCTGTGACCATATCATATACTTACTACCCCACAGATCTTCTGCTTGAAATTGTAGAATTGACAACCACTCCCAAAGCCAGTGGTGGAAGGCTTGCCTTTACCTCTTGAGGCTGTGAAACACAACCATGCCCGTGCTTGATTTGCGAGCATGCTTTGTACACACCCTCCTGGCAATCCTGGCCTTGGTACTGGCACCGCAGCCCATCGTCGATGGCTTGGCACTTTTTCTAAATCTTGGGCCAAAATTTTTTGACTGTCCCATACCCCTTTAGGCTGAAACATTGGAGCTCCACAGGCTGGGAAGCCACCAGTGATTAAAGTTTCCACTCCGTGTACCTGAAAACGTCCTGTGAGCTTTCAGCAAGCCACTCATAGAAGGTTCTGAAAGTAGCTAATGGAGGCTATGCGGCCATGATGCTTATCGACTAAGAGAAAACAAATTAGCACTGACTGCTGGCACCCATCGTGCGACTGACTGAAATCATCCAGAAACAGTTCACCCCTTTTGGCAACTCCACACGGCTTAGCTCGCTCGTCGTGGCACATTAGCTCGTCTTCGTGCTGGAAGAACTCCAACACCTGTGGCTCTTGGTTTTTTTTCAAAAGGTGGGCTCATCGTGGCTCTGAGGAGATAAATCCAGTAAACAAAGTTCCCAAGTTTGGTTGATCCTCATTCTGGTGGAAGGGATGTTCACAGTCCATTAATGGACCGAATAGATTGGATCATGCAAGTAGAACAGCAGCGGGGTGATGCACAAAAAGTCTTGTGTCCAAACCAAACCTCAGTGTTTGCAAACAGTCAAACCATGTGATAGGGGACCTCTCCAGCCTCTCAAAAACCAAAGACAATAGTTGGACTCCTAGCAAAGAACTCGGAAAAGTCTAGGCCAGTGTCCGATTCTTGGTAAACCATAGAACATCCTGTGGCATCCTGTGGCTATAAGCAAAAACTACTGGTCACATAATATGGTCACATCTTACCTCAGTGGGCAAAAACGGGATGTTCCTCACAAAGCCATGAGAGGCTTCTGAGAGGCTTCTGAGCACATCCATGGCAGAAAAGTACTGATGCAATGTCCATGGCTATGGCATGCTATGGCTCTTAGTGCCCATGGCCCATGGCCGCCATGGCCCAACTGTTGCCGGATGGTTCCCCACATGGACTCGTTGGACTTCACTCTGGGCAGCCCCACACATGATCTGGTAGTAGTTTCTGCGCGGCTTCCCAAACTGCTGGTAGAAAGTAAGCCTGGGAGACCCTCAATGCAAATTGTGGAGAGTTGTTTGTTTCTTGTTGTGGTTAGTCTAAAAACGTGGTTGAGAAGTTGAGAAGGGTTGTTCATATGGATTTGACAATGATGCGCCTACAGTGATGAAAAACCGAGAACGTGTTAAAACATGCGCTTCGCGAATTCAACCTTTGGCACCCTGCCGAAGAGTCCTCCGTCTCTGCATAGCCAGACATACTCGCGCTGGCCACCTAGAAGATGGCTCAGAAGAATGGGTGGTGTACGTTCGACTCGGGAGCCTCTATCAAGTGGTCCTTGGGAGATTCTACGTTTTGGACGGTTGTTCGGCTGTATCTTAAGTACAACGATATATATATATATATAGATGCCTGGCCTTACCAAGACATCCAAAGATCAAAAACCAGCATTCAAATCATTTCAACTGTATATACGTCAAGTTCAGGGTAACGTGGTGAAAGACATGCCGCTTCAAGACCACGCCTTATCTTTCAGAAATTGCTACATGTGGCCATGCAATCCCTGGACAATTTGAACCTGAGCCCAATGACTCACACGTTCGCTCTGGGACCCCAGCTGAAGCTAAGGTCATCAACTCTGCTGGCAGCCGAGTGGATGCCTGATGTTTTCAGGCAAAGGCGGGGCGGCTTTCAGAAATGGATCGCAAAATGATCATGAACTACACCATCAACGAGCATGCCTTGGAACTTGGATCATTGTATGTACTCAATCGCAATAAGAGATCAATTACTCCATACTCGATCAGATGCAGCCTCCTCCAGGAGTGCAACTTGAGCGTCCACATCGAGGTCCGTCTCATCCGTCGCTGGGCACTGTGCCTCGGGACACATCAGCGTCGGTCCGACATCAGTGTCGCTCCAGTGGAGATCTATGGGTTCTGCATGCTTTCACTATGGTGATCTGTGGGATTTGGATGTCTTGGTTATGTATGAAAGATCTATGCAGGAAGCCAAAGCGGAAGCAAAGCTTCAAGAAACAAACATCTGAAGGACATGCTGCCTCGAACCAGTCAGTCGCAGTTCTGACCTCAGGCTACTCGCAAGGCAAGTCTCCCACTAAAAGGACGAAGACCGAGAAAGCAAAGCAAAGAAAACAGAACCAGCTGAACCAGCTGCACTGGTTGATCCAATAAGTGATTACTGTACTATCGCATGTGATTGCTGTCGCAGTCGCCCCTTCCAACCAAAGCGACTGGGGGCCACGACATGCATCAAGGGAGGGCCAAGGTCAGGATCAGCCTCCAGCTGAGTGAACCTGAGTGATGAGCTGCTAGGTAAGGGATAAATGGCCAAACCACCTACAGTGACCATTGTAAAATTGCAACTGTTTATGTGGTTTGTTTTTGAAAACTCGTTTAAGACGACCAGGGCTTTCACCGAGCACTTTCAGCACTCGCGGGGTCCCTTTGTTGGGTACACCAAGCCCTGCACTGCGCGGGGTAATTCTTTTGCAGCGCATATACCAAATGGCAGTTCGCGGACCTGAGGCGGGAACTTGAGACAGGGTAGAGGTGGGTAAGGCCAGGAGCCCCTAGTAGCGTCCTTGCTCCTAGGTAGGGGAGAAATTGTGCAGACTAAGATAGAAATTGGTAAGTGGCGTGAAGTCATGTCAAAGTGGCAAAAACCTGGACAGTCGCTTTGGCAGAACAACCAGCAGCAAGCCGGCAGCAAACTAGCAGCACCCGCCGCAGACCAGCAGATTAGCTGCAGCAAATCAGAAAGCCAACTGACCAGCAGCATCAACACACTGGCAGCTGGTGGTCAAATTCTAGAGTGATGGTGGGGCGGAGGCAAAGGCTTGCTTCATAATTGAGAGCCTGATCTGACTTAGCGACAGCTGGGCTCTTTGATCCCAAAGAACTCACCATACGACGAGCAGCGGACCAGGAAAATGTGGTCCATCCATTGTCCATGGGTCCAATTTTCCAATACATGTGTTTAAAGCAAAGCGAACGAATAGGTACCTGATGCTACTTTTCAAGATGCATTTGTTGGGATTATGACAGCCAAACTCCAGTTAAGTTAGCATAGCGTCTTCAGTTAATACAGTAGTGCTTCCCTCAAACAGGACAGGCTGACACTCGAGGCAGTCGAAAGCAGCTTGATACAAGCCTTGCCGCGACTGCACATATCAAGGCGGCAGACATCTCATGACATGTCTGATGACGTGTCTGGCTTCTTCGATCTGGCTTAAGGCTTCTTCGATTTCATGGGCACATTGCCAGAACTTGCTATCAACTTGCTAGTAAAGACAGAAACCAGCAATTAAAGCTGCGAATGATGACAAAACAAATGCAAAAGATGCGAAAACAAGCTGAAAGATGGCCATGCTTTGGATGGCCATCTTCATCAGCCTCGCCTCAAGAGCGAGGCCAGCAAGGATCGCACCATCCTGGCACCAAAGGACTGAAGCTCGGCCACCCAAAAACCGGTTCATCTGTTTGGACTGTTTGGAACCATTCTCTGGTGATGTGGTGCCGAAGCATTCCACTTCCTGCCCCAGAGATGTCTGTTGGACTGCGGAGTTGCTGCAATACTGGTGGAGAAAGGACTGAGTCCTTGCTCCTAGTAGCGAGGCCAGGAGCCCTAGTAGCGTCCTTGCTCCTAGTAGCGAGGCCAGGAGCCCTAGTAGCGTCCTTGCTCCTAGTAGCGAGGCCAGGAGCCCTAGTAGCATCCTTGCTCCTAGTAGTAAGGCCAGGAGCCCTAGTAGCGTCCTTGTTCCTAGTAGTAAGGCCAGGAGCCCCTAGTAGCGTCCTTGCTCCTAGTAGTAAGGCCAGGAGACCCTAGTAGCATCCTTGCTCCTAGTAGTAAGGCCAGGAGCCCTAGTAGCGTCCTTGTTCCTAGTAGTAAGGCCAGGAGCCCCTAGTAGCGTCCTTGCTCCTAGTAGTAAGGCCAGGAGCCCCTAGTAGCGTCCTTGCTCCTAGTAGCATGGTATGGAAGGGAAGTCGAATGGAAATACCTTCTGAACCACGCCTTGACCGGTGCAGTTCAGCTGCCTCGCCGAGGTTTGGATTGCGGCTGCTGCCGTTGGGCAGCTTAATGGCATTGCGTGCCAAAAGACCAGCAACCTCTCGCAAAAGCTTAGCTCACACAAAGCTGGAAGAGATGTTCTTTCAGTGGCTTGATATCCCCAGCAGACTATTCTGTTCTGCTTCCGGCATCAAACGAGGGCCGCCTTCATTTTGACCCATGGCCATCTGTTCATTCTTATCACATAGATTCCTCAACCCTCCCCGAAACCGCACCTCCAGCATCCTTTTGGCTGCATGCCAGTGCACATTCTCAATTCCATGCACTGCGAGATTGCCCAAGATAGCTGCAACAGTGCGGTTGAAGAACCTTGGCGTGTTCACACCATCCAAAGATGACCCTCCCTCCCTGGTAAACACCAATAACCTCAACTTGGAAATATCCGTGAAATCTCATGGCTTTGTTGAGAGGATATTGGCCCTTGGCCACACCATGACTAATTGTTCAACGAACGAGTCAAAAAGTGTTCTCCACTGTCAAGAATTAGGTCTGCCTTGTCTGATTGGCCGCAGCTGGCCAAAAACGAATAGTCTAGCCATATTGATTTGGTCACAAAATCTTGAGGTGGCCACGCATCCCGACAGGCACCAAAGTTCCAGTGCGCCTTGGACGGAACCATCGGTGTGGGCTGATGGGCTGTTGCAGGCCTGGATTGTATGCACAGTCCAAGAACTTCTATGAAGGAAGAGTTTTGAATACCTTGTGCCCATCTTTAAACATCTTCAAACATTTACTTACAGGTCTCGACAATCTCAGGAACAGCGAGATCGGTGGGGCTGAGCTGAGCTCTAGCCGCAGAATGACCACGACCAGCATGGAGGAAAGGGGAATTTCTTGAACTGACCTTCCAGTCAAGCACAGTTGGACAGGTCGGCGGAGGTCAGGGTGGAAGAACTGTTCGTTTCTCTTCACTTAGTACTTAGTACCACTATACTTGAAGGTGCGACATGGTTTTGGGGGGGTCGATCTTGAACTCCATGCCACCAACTGTCTCAATGTCAGTCTTGGGGTCTTGGGTAAAACACACTTCGTCCTTAACATAGGCCTGTGTGATGCACCAAGTACACTGCGTCCATCAAGTAGCTTCACAGCAGACATTTGTCCGCAGAAAGCAGCATCTCCTGCGCTCCAGCTGGACAAGGTTCCCCAAATACATTGACGAATCTTAAGGATAAGTGCAATAGGTTCAAGATAGATCGAAGAGGTACAGTATGTCCACTGCCTCAAAAGTATGACTCGAGAATATCCCTGAAGCAATAGGACCTCGTGACCTCTTCCAACTGCTTTGTTGGGAACTCACTGACTTTGGAGTCAAGTAATACATAGTCGTACCTCACCCTTTCCACCTTTTGACCAGTCTCGGCAAGCTCTAATGAAAAGTTGTTCTCGCACCCTCGGACTGAAAAGCAAGTCTCAAAACCTGTTCAAAAAATAAGCCAAGCGCTGAATGCAGTGGTACTCGCACACTCCTGTTAGGGACAGCACCGACAGCAACAACGCCATTACTGCAGTTGGCGCCTTGGCCTGCCAGTTTCTGCGACGGGATGGGCCAAGAAGAGATGAGACGGGGATAGTTTCTGAGGGGGTGCTTCTGAAGTCTATGACCTCACTTGCAAAATCTGCAAAATGATTCGTTAAGTATCTCAATCACTTAGCCTGGTTTGTTGTGTGCACTGATACTACACTGGCCTTACAATTTCACCCAGACTCTAATGTTTAGTTCTCATGTGTCAGCCCGGGGCCCGCACTAAGATCTTGTTCTCAGAGGTTGCAACACCATGCAGCACCTCCAGAAGTGAAGGCAAGACCTGCAACAAGTTTGAGGATGTAGAAGGACAAACTGCCCTGATGTTGAAGCAACTGCCAGGACGCCTTGTCAGCGCTGCCTTGACAATATCTCCGGAACTTGGCATTCTGGATCACTAGGCAATAAAACAATAGGGGATATCCTGGCTCCTGGTGAGGCAAGAAGGACGAAGATAAAGCCATCCTATGTCGTTCGAAGTTCTTGATCTGTATACAGAGGACCACAAAAGAAGAGACATACGGGAAAAAAATATAAGGATCACGTAAGCCGGGCACCAACAAAGTCCTGCAGCTTTTGCAGAATTGCTCGCAAAAGCTTGGGAAAGTAGATTGGAGCAGTAATCGTGGCATATGCCTCACGCTGCAGGTGTTTGCTTGGCATCACAAGAAGGTGTGTCTGCATTGCCGTTTGCCCTGAGTCCTGCACAGAACCTGATCGATCAAATCTGGGATCGGTCAGGGAGGCGAAAGCCACTCTGATCTTGGCATTTGCCTGCCATTTGGAAGAAAGCCAGTCATTGTACTGTGGTCAATGCTCATCTTTGCTTCATGCCTCTCTGAATGTCTGCAACGCGGCAAAAAACCAGCCTGTGGGTTGTGGAAAAGGAGGAGCAAAAGCACCTGGGGCCCAATGAACTTCAAAGCCAAACTTTAGAAACAAAGGTTCCAAGTTCCAATATGCTCATCTAATCAATCTCGCTGACCTGCTGTCTTGAAGACAGCTTCCTCTGCACCGAAAGCATCAATTCGCCCAAAAACATCAGCTCTACCCAAACTGCGATCACTTGTTATGTCTCTAGAGGTGCGCTTAGCTGCTTGCATGCCGTTTTTGGCTTTAAGGCTCGCACTAGCAAGGCACGCTTGGCCAAGCCTTTGCCCGCCATCCCTGCTTCGACTGCCGCCTCTGGATGCGGAAAATGCAGAGATGCTCTAAGGATTCTCGCGTGTGGAGGATGAACCGAGAATCAACATGGGAGATTAAATGGTCTTTTTGATTGAGAAATCTGGATGTGGACTACTAAGAATGTGAAAGCTCTTCCCCTTTACCAATGAGAAACCATAAGTAGTAAGAGGCAGCCTGACACCATTAGTTGAAGCGCTTTCACTTCGCTGACCCTCAGAGGCCCTGTGATGCAGAAATCCTCTGGTGAATGATGATCTGGAAAGTGAAGGAGCGGAAGGGAGGAAGGAAGAAAAAATGATTCCAGCTTTGAAGGAGCCCTTACCTCGTTGTGTTCTTTATTTTACAGTCTGACCATGCTGACCAAAGGGGTGGCTGGTTACGACGGTTCTAAGGCTCCCAGCCCCGTCATCTGCAACCTGGCCAACTGCGGGGCAGAGCGAGTTGACGCACGGCAGAACGCGTGAAGGGGACCAGGCAAAAAAGTGACCGGGTGTTTCTCGTGTCCTAGTAGCGATGGCCTGGAAACCTAATAGGAATGGCCTCCAACCTACTAGCGATGGCCTCCAACCGACTCACGCGACATCTTCCAAAAAAATTGTTTTGTAAAAATACCCATGATAGTGACACAAGTGTCTGCGGCCGCCGGTTGTGGGTAGGGTAAAAAGTCATAAAAGCCTGCAGAATCCAAATGCTGGAGAAAGCGCAGTGGATACAAGTTGTGTGTGTGTGAGAGATATCCGCGATGGTTTCACTGGGCACTGGCTGCAAGGTAGCCTTTAAAATACAAGGATCGCCAGTTCAATGGGGCTGGGACTTGGGACCTATGCTTCAAGCTGCCACTTACTGGAGGGGTGCTTGGTTTCAAAGCGCCTGCTCTCAAATTTAAAGTTAGCATCCTCATGCACTCAACCATAAGCCCGAAAAACGGACAGACTTGCAGTTTTGCAAAATGGTAGCTCCCGTCATGCTTTGCCCAGAAAAACAGATCAGGTATGCAAAGTGCAAAGCATGACCAGGCTGACGAATCCAGAAGGCAACCCAGGCATCAGCTCCCCAGAAGCCAGAGATAGGTGAGTCACCTTCTGGGACTTTGAAGAACAGGACTTTGGGAAACAGGTCGATCATGGTTGATCATGATCAGACGTTCAAAATTGAGTCCAATGATGTCCAATGATGAACTTGTGGGTGTTGAAGTTTGCTCTTGGAGCTCAAAGCAACTCCGCCTCCACTCCTCTGTAGGGATTGGCCTCTATATCGCCAGGGTGCTTCGTGAGGAAGTCCAGCACCTTGGACCGTGTTCGTCAAGCAATCCCGAAAAGAGGAATTCGTTGAAAGGAAAGCTGAAGGTATGGGCCCCCCTGAGACCCTTTCAATAAGGACCCTTGTAAAGGGACCATATTCTACCCTTACCTTCTCGCCTCCCTTTCTGCCAAAGAAGATCTCCGCGCCTCTTTCGGAGGGTTTGGGAGCAGCGCAGCATGTGGTTCCAACCTAGACGCAGGCCAGCGGACGTTCGCAGGCAGTTGAGATTTCAACTTGAGGCTGGAGCCACAGGCAGTTCAAGAGAGTTGCCAAAAAGGCCTGCCACAAAGCCAAGTGAGTTTCAATCGGGTCCACTGACGAAGTGCCTCTGAGGTCAATCCATCAGAACTCTTCACCTTGGAAATCACGTATTCTGTATCTGTACTGTATTCTGCATTATTCTAATTTCTTGGCATTTTCACATGATTCACATGATTCATGTTTAAACATGTTTGAACCCAAAAGACATTTCTGCCAGGCAAAAGCAGTTACCTCTTGGGGCATCTGCATGGGAAGCGGCGGCAGTCCCATTGGCACCATCCTCAGTCGACATCGCACCTTCCACAGCACCCGAGAAGCGAACTATGGAAGCGAACTTCGTGGTCTTCACCATCCAGGACCTCGCAGTTGGAATGAGCTTGGAATGAGGGTCTACCCAGGTCCAATGTATTGTATAGTCTCTTTCTGACTGCCACTGGCTCTGCCACCAGCACTGAATGCTGGTCTCTGGTGATCTTCAACATCATTGAGCTCCCCACTTCTGCGAAAGCTTGTAGAAACGGAAGAGACAAAGGCTCTCCTGCAAGGAATCGGCTACCCGGCTACCCCAACAGATCAACCAAATCTGGTTTGGCAGGTCAGGTCTGATCCCTTGTCGCACCATGAAAGCATGATATGTCTGCACTAAGCTGAAGCCCAAATTCACCTCAGTATTAGCCTCTTCATTGAGCCTCAACATCATTCAACATCAATCTTAAACAGCGACATGATTATCATGAGAATCCTTGATCTACAACACAAAATAATCCTACCATGCTTAAAGCATGTTGTGTGTGTCCCATCTGTTCCAACCTGGGCTGAGCATCTTTGGCTCAAGCCCATTGGCCCCACGTGCACGATCTTGGCCTGCAAGGCTCAAATGTGGATGTTCAGGTCATGCGCCCATTGATCATTTAAGTGCACACATTCATATGACCCCTGCTGCTCTGGAGGTGCAAAGTCTTGCAGTAGCCTCGGGTTCTAGAGACTCGGGGTTAACCACACAGGTCTCGCCTCGGGCACCTTCTATCTCAAAACCTCTGGAGTTTCGCCCCAAAACATCTTCTCAAGAAGGGAATTCCAAAAAACATCCCTTTACACGGTGAAACTACTCGCCTCTCCCCCTCTGTCCACACACTGTCTGTGTCCTGCCTCCACTTGCTCCCACCGCCTCCGCCGCCTCCGCCCTCAGGCGGAAGGCCATCTCGGCCAGGCGCCGCTCCTCCGCAGCGCTGCGGAAGGGCCTTGGGCATCGAAGCTCGGAGCGCTGCGGAAGGGCCATCTCGAAGCCGATTCAGAGACCCGGGTGCCGAACGCACAGTTGCTTCGGGGCCATCCCGGTTCCTGAAAATCACCAGGGCAACAAGCAGGCGAGTTGACGGTCTTGACCCATTGAAATTGAATCAAGCTCATCAAGCTTCTGACAACTTGTACAGAGAGTTTGTTGGAGGTGCTTCAAGAAAGGCAGGTATGGTATGGACACAAACAGCTGCCACACAGCTGCCACAAGTGCCACCAGCTGTTCTCCTTCTCTGTTGAAGTGTTCTTTGGCTGCTTCACAGCAGCAACCTGCGCAACTCCACCCAGAGTGCGCTCAATTGGTCATTTGACGAGTGAGCCAACTGGACCGACCAGGACCTCTCGAGGAAGAATGCCAGCAAAGTCAGTGTTCTAAGATCGCAACGGCAAATAAAAGGAGTAGAATCTCATGCAAAATGGCCTCAGAAGGGCAAGGCTGCAAGGGATTCAATGACCACTGGTGATCTAGTGGCAGGATCTTGCTGTATAGTTCCAATCATTGTCCAATGCCCTGAACGGTTTTTGGTGTTAATCAATCATCTTGACCCAACAAGTGAGGAGCTTTCTGCCGCTTCAGAATATGTGTTTTGTGAAATTGGTAGCACAAACCCATGCATGTTCAGTCGCATCATACTGTTCGATCTTGCAAAAGACTGTGAAACTGCTCCCCATCACCCCATCTTGTCGCCACTCGGCCTGGAGCCTCATTGTTGTTGGAGACATGGACAAGTTCCTCTGCATTTGGCTTTCTGCCTAGCCAAAAAAGACACACCGAAGAATTCAAAAAAGGTTGTTGGAGTTGCTGCTTCTACACTCCAAACCGACCATGGAACTCGCGACGCCAAAAGCCCCACAAAGCTGGAAGAACTTTGGGACTCGCAGCCTCACTGTCACCATGTAGGGAAGGTGAAGTACTGTTCACTGCACCAAATGTCCTCATGGGCGAATGGACAACCCTGGCTGTTGAATCCCTGAACAAAGGCTGGTACTGCAAGTGTTTTGCATGATCGCATGGGTCTTCTCATGGTTGAGATCTTCGTGGTCGTGCTTCATGGACGACGAATGAAAAACAAGCAACTGAGAATCCTCCATGACTCTAGGCCTCTCTAGGGCCATACTACATGTGCAGGTGTGGAAAGGAGCATGCATGTTGTACATAAATGTTTGCTTATCCAAGTCAAGCTAGGAAGGCTGTATCTCATTGCCAGAATCCCATCTGCATTTCCCAGTATACTGTATACTTAATATATCCTAAGATGGAGACTTGGATTTGGATGATGCAGGTGATTGCAGCGGTGGAAACAGGCCAATTACAGCCTTTACAGCATGTTCCGTTGGCTGATGACCCTTCAACATCAAAACTCTGCAAATAGTGTGATATCCTCCAATTGTAACTGAGGCAGTGGAGGAATTGGCTCTGCTTGTAAGACCACTTATTGGAAAACAAGAGCCACCAGCCGCTAGCATTTGGAGCTGGAGCACAGTATCATTCAATGTTTAATGGGCCCCTGACGAGTAGAGCAGGAAGTCGACGATCTCTCGGAAAACGCTACGTAGCACGCTACCTGCAGGCTCCGCCATGCTTTCAAACTTTCCTCAAGTGGCTCTTGGAAGGTATGTGAGTCATGTATGTGAGTCATGTGAGGAATCAAAAAGGCGATGGGCCAAGGGATGTGGCTTTATCTTCTTTTCCCTATTTTGAAACATCCTTTGCACGACTTTTCTTTGGGCTTGCCTCGCGAGTACGGGACTGCACTGGGACAAAGCACCACCTCCTGAGAAAGTCCACAGCTCACGTGCACGCGGGAAAGTTGAGAGATTCTCCGATTCTCCTGCGTATCTGTCTCCGACAGTCTTTCCATGGCCTCGTCAGGGAAGCACAGGAAGCGTTCCGTCAGATGACATGGTTGCATGGGGCTGGCCTCTGCAACAGAGAAATGTTCGCCTGTCGGCAGGGTACGCAGCCTGCCAACTCGAAAGCGCGAAATGAATGGCATTTGGGAATGCGTTTGGGGTGCGTAAGAAACCAACATCGTTTTCTCATATATATATATATATATAACCTTGTTCGAGGAGACTGTCTGAAGCCCTGCCCATTCAAGGCCGTCATCAAGGCTCACACATGCAACTGTCTTCTCGCAGCGCAGCTGCATCCTTCGGGCAGACCATCTGAGAGTGGACCCGTTGAACCAACAAACCCATCTCCTCCGGGCACAGCGAGCAAAGCGGCTCCACAAACCTGAGCACTCCACAGCACTCCAGCGGCAAACAGCAAACAGCTCCCTCGACATCGTTTTGTTCGGAAATGCACTCAGGGCTCTGACAAGGATGCAGCTGATGTGGATGGCTCAGGTGGCCACTGCACCTCCAAGCTGCCGGTGGCCAAGAGATAGAACAAGTAGCTTGGTGAAGGCTTAGAAGAAAGAACCTCACCTCAAGATGCTTCCCACAGTAGCTCACCGAAATATGCCCATCCTGAAGAATGGTGCCAACAAAGGTCAACACCTGTTGCGAAAGCTCAAACATTAGCAGGCCTGGCACTTAGGTGCACCTGTGGCATCTTCTGATTTGTGAAGTGGCACCTGAGCATTTGGAGGCCTACAGTAAGAGACAAGTAATTCACACAATAAAGTTCTCCAAGTCAGAACTTTGCCATAACTCCCACTTCTAGGAACAAGTGCATCGCTTCTAGTAACAAGTGCCCTCCTTAACAAGAAGCTAGTAGAATTGTACTTTCAAACTTGTTCAAACATCGATCAGTTTTAAGCACCTGCTCCAGCTGGAAGAGCAGCTCATGCCTTTCGCGGAGCAACAACCCTCAAATACCGCCTTCGGATGAGCAGAAAATTCCGATGACACGCCCCACCCATGTTCTTCTGGAAAATCCTACAAAAATCTACACATCCATTTCTCTGACCCCTAATGGCCTCACTGAGGAGCACCATCGATGTTCTCGTTTCTATTCGTGTCCACTTCTCTGGTGCCCCGACGCTGTCAGACACTCCGAGAACTGCTTTAAAAGGCAACGGCAAAGCAGCGAGAGACTCAAGACCTCATTGCAAAAGACAAAGCAAAATTACCCTAACGATCGTAGCGCTTCAAATAACGGATCTTGCCTGGTGGCAAGCAAATCCGGATGCCGCCGGATGCCGAACAAACGAACAAACAAAAACACATGGCAGTAATTGGCAGTATCTCTATGATCTCTATGAGTATCTTAGGTTGGAGGCCCTCTTCTCTATGATTCTCAAACAAAAACACGAGTTTAGATCTTTATAGTATGTGTCTGGCGGATGCACCCCGTCACTTGGTGGATGGCGGCAGAGAAGCTGCATGGCTTCGCATCACTGGGAGATGTGCGGAAGTAGTGCAGCAGCCGGGCCTCAACTGGCAACAGCAGCTTTGGGTCGTGTCTGGTGTCTGGATTGCCGGATGGCCAATTGCAGATGCTGTGTAAACAGGCAATTAGCCTATTTAGACCGCAATACGCGCCTATTTTGCTTGAGCCAAAGTCAAGTGTATGTGAGACATGAATACGGTGTACAACTGTGAAACCACACCCCCCGCTGAGCGCATATACGGAGGAGTGAAGTATGCACAATGTGCATGAATTCGATCGGCTACGAATGGCAACCGGTCCCCCGGCACGAGCAAACGAACGGGGCTCGCCTAAGAGATAAAGCCGATGAAGGAAGACCTCAGAGGCACTGGAGTCAGGCACAATGTACTTTAGTTTCACATATGTTTCTCATCATTTTCTCACAGTCATGCAAAAGTTATAGCTCTTCTTTTGGGCGCTGTGCAAGTGACCAAGGCATGTTCACCTTTGAGAAAGCAAGAGCGGAACCTCTACGTGGCTCGCGCTCCCGCGTGGCGAATAACCATGGTCGCATGATTGATGAAGAGGAATTTTATCCAATATCATCTTTAATTTGTGCATCCTCATGTGCTGGTCAGCTGACGCGCAATGAGAGCGGCCACGATAAGGCAACCGCTCCCGCGGTGCGATGAGACCTCCTCGCAAGGAATGGAGCTAAACTGCCAATGGTATTTTGTTTTGGTTTTTGGTTTTGTCCACGGCAACGGCTCCCGCCGTGCGAAGATCTCTCACCAGCCTCGTCGCTGATTCCAGTCGTGGCTTCCCCAGCTCCCACGGCTCCAGTCAGAATCACGCCATGAGCGATCATCCGAATGCCACCAGTCACTCGACCACCAGCTCTGTGATGAAGAAGGTTGGTCTCGTGATCCGTAGCCGCGGGATTCCCAGCGAGTGTCATGCTGATATGCACTGTGCTGAGATTGCCGTTGAGCGAAGCTCTTGGCTGCCGTCGATCCTGCCTTTGTCTGTGGAATAATCATCGACCTCTGTTCTTTTCCAATCGTCAGAGCGTTGCCTGGAATGCGTTCGAAGTCTTCGGCCATGAAGGCAAGGAGGTCGTCGAGAATGTCCTGAGGGTCTTCGAGATCCGACTTCCATTCATCACCGAACCCGCAAATGGGTGGACGCTTGTAGCTGTCTGCATACAGAGTAGCGAACACTTCTGGTCGGTGGAAACGGTTGCGCCAATACACGAAGAACTCACGAGAAAGGTCTGATTCGCCAACGATGTTGGGGTCGGCGATGTAGACGATTTTCCCGGCATATCGGTGACCTTCGCCCTTCATGATCATTTCCCGCGTTCTAGGCGGGTCAGGCACGACTGCATTTGCAAGCTTGTCAATGAAACCAAGGCACAATGGTGTTAAATCTTGTGCCGCGCAGTTAAATGCGTAGAAGGGATCAATGAGTTGCCGCTGCATTACAGTGACTGACATGCGCTCTGCTTTCTTGACATGACTCTTGGCATTGTTCTTCAAGATCGTTAAGCCAGACCTCGAAGCACGAGCGATCTCGTGGCCAGGCGTCCCCGCCGGCGTAAGCCTTTCTCCTGATCCTCTGAGCTCGTCATCAGGCACCATGTCCAGCGACACATCAATTCCGAG